CCCCTACAGCACAGGGATCTGCCCAGGTGAGAGGCTGATTTCTTTTTTCAAGTCTCAGTTCCTGACTAATAATAGGTTGATTTAAAATGAATGCCAACAGCTAAGCACTCGGACGAGAACACACACCAAGCCGGAAACCTCTGCTATTTGAAAGGACCGAAATACGTAGGATCTACCGTTCTGTATTACTCTTTCTATCTGCTGTTATGTACCGGTGGCATGGAAGTCAGAGGAGGAAATCTGCTGGCAGAGAAACACTGAATTACAGACCTTCACTTCCGCTTAAGCCACATGTAACAGAACCTGAACTGGCAATTTTCTGCCTCACCCCCAAGGTTGAAGCTTGTAAGAGCTGTGGGTTGTGCAAGCCTCTGCTTCTTACCTCCCCAAAGGGGCTCATACTCCTGCAGGCAGGCTCAGCTGAACCTGGAGAAATGCTCTCTGCTCAGGTCATAAACCCCGAATCGACGATTCACTCCTACGTAAGCTCCAAACGAGTCTACTAAGACAGTGGAATAACCCACGAGGATAAAAAAGAAAGAAAAAACAAATAAAAAAACCTCACCACCACCATAATAACATAAAGCACTCCTGGTTCTCATTACTACAGAACATGTCCTGAAGGCAAAACCTCTCCTTCAACCCCAAAACTTTCCTTAAATAAAATAGCTCCATTACTGGAGGCCAAGTGATTTCTCAGGGGTTAGAAAAGATATTCAAGTATCAAAGTTTGGAAAACTCCGCTGCATGTCGCTCTCTAGCATGTACGTGCTATGCCAACATTTCTAACCCCATAATCCAACTGCTTTGGAAGTGCACGTTTTCCTTTGCCAGAGGAAGCTGGTCATTTCAGGACACTGGCAAGAGCTGATTTCTTTGGCAAGCCACAATGTGGTTCGCTTTCCAGGCATCTCTGCCTCACATGGTAATCTGTCTTCCCAGATCTTCAAGTTCACAGATGTGTCTGAGTAGAAAAGGTGACCAAACGCTCAGCCCACATGCCAGACCAATGCAGAACACAAGAGCAGGTCATGTTCAACGTGTGAAGAGCTCATGATCATGAGGCTGACCAGCTCGTGATCAGACAGCCTTAACAAATCAGGAGCTGCAGGAGAAGCGTGCCTGGCCGGCCAGCAGACACACTCTCTTAACTGTAAATCAGCAGCCTCCTCTGATTGGCTGAAGAGTTTATAAAAGGGACAGCGTGCTAAAGCGCAGGGTCCCGGGTTTCACACAAGCCCTTGGATAGGACTGATCACCCTGTCCAGGAATCTGTGTCCCCATGGCTGAATAGTACGAATAGTCATACGAATAGTCACACACTGGCTATTATTTCACCGAATAGTGAGCTCTCCATCCGCACGTACATCGGAAAAAGCAATTGCTATCTCCTACCTGTCATCTTTAACTACTGCTTCACCACTGTCGTTTTGTTGTATAACCACTGTTGAAATCTTACTGTAAGTAAACGTTAAGTTCAATTTTACTATCTTCCAACTGAGTCAGTGTCCCTTTCATCCCTGGCCTGTCCATAAGGCGGGTTGGTCATCCACCCGCCCCCCGGTTCAACTGGTAAACCGCCTGGTGAGTGCTGCGGTTACTAACAAGATGAAAGACATAAAAGGAGAGGAAGAGGACTAAAATGTGCTTGGAGTGAGAGAACCAGCCGAGCAAGGAAAAGGAAGCAAGCTAGGTGTTTCCTTGCTGTCCTGGGGATTGCGTGTTGCCCTGGCTCCAAATAAAATATTCCCTTTACTCATCCTCGTTTCTTTAATAAAATTTTAATTAGCCCGAAGGCAGCTAGGGCTGTGCACAAAGATGGATGCCTCATAATTAATGTAACGTAACACCAAGGCTATTGTCTCCAAGCACTCTGTCAGTCTGAAAAGATGCTATTGGGCAATGTGTTCTGGCAAGCACAACGGTTGTTTTAGCATCGTATGTGATGGAAAGCGAGATCACGTATTCCCCAGCAGAATCCCACATTCCTCTTGTGCAGCCAGTATCTAATTGAAATGTTATTTCTATCCAGCTACCATATTTGTAAAAGCAAAAAAGTCACTCCAAGAATGAGAGTGAGCAACAATCCTGGATGGCTGGTCTTCCACGCTGCTCCAGGATAGTACAGTGGCTCTTGCACGTGTATTTTGTGCGTACAGGCCTTGCTAACACAAATAACAGTTGTCAGAATTCGGGGGTCAGATTTCTGGTTTTTTAGCATAATAGGGAAGAAGGAAATAGTGCAGAGGGTCTAGTAAAAGTATATGGGGTATTTAAAGTCTAGTCTCATTTCCACTGCAGCTAAGGTAGGTGACAATGTTCACCTGCTACCTGTCTGCTGACTGAGCAGTAGCCACGTGAAATGATTTGAGTCTAATTCTCAGCAGCAGATGTTCACATCAAAACGCCACCCGATGTCTTCACTGGGACTCCTGTTCTCAGCCTAGGAAAGGCAGAGAGCTTGCTGCCCTACAAAACAAATGCCTCTTTCCCATCAGTTTTACCAAGTTGACGATAAGGACAGACTTCCACCTGCACAGATGTCAAATCCCACACTGGATTCAGTTTATATTTGGGATGTGCTTGACAGGTACCCAGAACAACCCCCCTGCATATTAGCATATTAAGATAGAGCAGTGATGCTCAACGAGGGTGGGACAGCACCCTGGGGGGGCTTGAGAGCTTTTCAAAGGTGCCCTAGGGTGCCACTGTCAGCACTATTAGGTGTACAACCAGGATTCACAAGATAAACCCCGAGATTTCAAATAGGAATCCAGAGTAGTAAAAACATGCTGTCTTTTTTCGAGTCTTTTGTAACAGAAAAGTTGCTCTGTTCTTTTTTTCCTGTAGTGTTCACTTTTTTTTTTTTAAACTAAAAACTAGCATTTTTCTGTCACAACCCAAAGTTGTGGTTTTCTGTTTTTGTGTGCTTCGGCATCGCTAACTTATGTCCCCGCCAAATTGCAGCTCCTTTGCACGGTAGAGTTTTCTGCTGCAATAGGAGAACCCGCGTGCAAAACAGTATTTCCCGCCAGTTTGTAGCCTTCTTTGCATGGTGCATTTCTTTTGCATCATAGTGATGCACGGTGCAAAGGAGTTCCCACCATTTGTATTTAGATTCGCGCCACATTATTGGCCGATCCTAAATTATGCACACGTGGCGGCTAGCGATTGGCTTGCTAGCCGTATAAAGAGGGTGTCTGCCCAAGTTGGAGAGAGAGAGAGAGAGAGAGAGAGAGAGAGAGAGAGAGAGCGCGCGCGCGCGCGCAATTGGAGTTTGGGAGAAAGAGCGTGAAGATTTCTAAGCGCTGTTAATCCCTTCGAACCCAGCTTCTTTTTCTTCTCCTTAAGAAGGCAATAGAGGACCGACTTACTGAACCCACGGAGTCCTAACAACTCCGGGGGACCTATTTACCGAACCCACGGAGCATCAACCACTCCGGGGGCCAAACGGCCTCTAGCCTCTCCCCGTCACCGAGCACGATCCTACACGTATCCCTTTCCTTTGAAACTACCGAATCCGCGGAGCTTCAACCACTCCGGGGCCAATTACCGAGCCAAACCCGCGGAGCTTCAACAACTCCGGGGTCAATTGTCGGAGTCCTCTAGCAAGGACTTAAGCAGAGCTGTGCCTGGGAAACTGTCCAGCCTACACCACGACCATCTTTGGTGTAAGTAAACAATCTTTTAATCAACCATTACGCGTCTGTAACTAATTCTAGCTTGCCACCGGTCTTCTTCGACCCCGCGTGCCCGGGCTGCTGGCCACAGCCCACGTGTGCAGAAACGGGTTCGCATACCGCTCCTAGCCCGCACATGGCCGCATGGACGGGATCGGGAGGCGGCCCGCACATTTTCAAGGGGTGCCTTGAGTCCAAAAAAGGTTGAGAATCACTGAGATTGAGTTTCAGATATCCTTTGCTCAGCAGGCTGCAGAAAGAGAAGTCATTAGAGACTACTAAAAAATTGTACTTCTTTCAGAGCAACTAAATAAAGCGACAGGAAAACTTAAGAGCACAGACCGTAGGCCTTGCTGTCAGCTGGAACAAATGTAGTTATTTTGGCCTTGTCTTGGAGTCCCCACCATAAAAGCAAAATATATGCAATTTGGCATAAGGTTCAAGGGCACTTAAGAAGCTGCCCATGTTGAAGCAGGGAGCACTGAGAGCTGAAATTTGCTAGTTGACAGCTAACAATTGGGATTTGCCTGCTGGCACAGGCCCGGACAGCCTTAAGAAAGAGGCACGATGGAAATACCGATTCTTGCCTTAACCAGCAAGATCAGCATTGAGGCAGCAAGCAGCAAGGCAAACCCAAAGAGGGAGAGAAAAGCAGGCTAGCGAGGCTGCCCAGGGGCACAGCAGAGCTGAAGTCTGACAAGACAATCCAGCCTGCCGAGGTTTCTGCATCCAGAAAAAGCCAGGATGAAGCGCTCTTCCCTCCCTCCCCCTCGCCGACTGTCCTGAAAGCACCTTGCAGGGAAAGAATGGTTCAGCTGTCCCTCTTCCAACCTCAAAACAAATCTTCATCCTTCAGATTAGAAATCAGATATTGCAAGCAAAAAACAAAAAAAATAAAATAAAAATAGAGACATGAAAAAGGAAAAGAAACACTAGCATTCAGCCACTGACAAAAAAAATCCCTCAGCTATCTATCTTGTGCTCCACACATTGAAGTTTCTAGTCCAGAAGGGACCAACCTTTCTGGCAGGTGTGCCCAAGTGCCACGTTAAGCCCCTTCCCAGTTCTGCTTTCTGTTCCCTGCCTTGTTCTCCCTGCCCTACCTGTCACCATGCTGCCAGCCCCCTTCCCGAATCTGCCGCATGCCGCAGAGGCTGCCGGTGCCACCCGCAGCAACTTGGCCACCTTCGTGCAAACGAAACCAGGAACAATCTGCGGGCTAGCCAGTGTTGCACAGACCAAATCCTCACTCAAAGTCAAGTGAAGGCTAAAGGAAGCTAAGACAAGCAAAGCAGTCTACATCAGGCAAAACAGCTAAGCTGATGCAACCGGTTTGCGTAATACCCATTGCCCCACATGCACTGATTCAGCTGGCTTGTTTTTAAGTCCTGCAGAGTGAACTATGCAGCAAGCATCCCAGAGCGAGCCAAGGCTGCTAGTAAAGATAGCTCCATTTAATCCCTGAGCACAGGCCAGACCCAAAAGAGGAGTAAAGGGGAAAACCACCACCAGTTGACTTCAGGATCATTCGTGCTGCAGCCGCATGGGATGTTTGATTTCATGCCACGAGTGATGTCTTCTTCTAAGCTCCCGCTCAAGGAATGCAGCCTACCGGTCAGCTGCGAAGGGAGAAATTTTGCAGTATGGTGTTGATTAGCTTCTCAGAGATGGAGCAACAATACTGGATTCATAAGCCCCAGCTGCACTTTTTTTTCCCCTTTGTATCGGTCAGAAAAAAGGGCTGGACACCTGCAGCATATGGCTCTAATCCAGTGGTTCTCAAATTTTTTGGACTTAAGGCACCCTTCTGTAACTTCTGTGAACTTCATGGCACCCAATTTCAACAATCAATGTACAACACATATTATAGTGTTCGCCGTCTTGCAGAGGGGCTAGGCAGTGAGGGGTGGGATCATACCAGCAGTCTTTCCTGCCCAAGTGCAGGGGGGCTGGACCTGATGATCTTGTATGGTCCCTTCCAGCCCCTAACATCTATGAATCATTCAGGAGGGGTCAAGCTTATCCACTTAGCTTATCTGCTTATCTCTTCACACCTCAAATGATCTGGCAGCACCCCAAGGGGGCCTGGCACCCTGGTTGAGAATCACTGCTCTAGCCAGAGCTGGCTGGGCTAGTCATGCTACCTGATATAGTGCTGACATATAGTCATTCCTGACCTACAACATCCCATGAAACAATGTGGGAACCCTACACGGCTCCAGTGACGTCTCTCAATCCTATCCCACAAGACACCGTGCTATCATGGGGCTGGGCTCCCTACATCTCTTTCAACACACCTCGGTCCTGAGCAGCAGCAAGTTGGCATGCGTGACCCAAGGTTAGCCTCTCTTACCTGGACAGTGCACGAGTTTTAGGCCCCCAATCCTGAAAACACAGCAGGCTACTGTTACTGGCATACTGATGGTAGCCAAGATCCCCAGCTGTGTTTCACGACTGGAAAATACTGTACACACACAGAAATAAAAACATGGCACTACTCTGAAGGCCAATTTAGCTCTTATATGTTTAGCTCGTATATGTTTAGCTCTGTTAACGTCATTTTGTCCAATTTAACGGAACAAGAGCGACTCTCTTGGACCCATTCCGAGTCTGAGATTCTCCTGTAGATGTACGTAGCCAGTCATTTAACTATTTCACCTTGCATTTCTTTTCTTCTTGTAGCCTAGACTGATAAGAACTTCAAGGAAGACAGGGTCAAAATCTTTATGAGTAATGCAACTGCCATTTTTCTGCTGCATTACAACTGTAATTATTTTAAAAATAGCCACCGATGTGTTTTTTGGCTCTTGCTATCTCTCTTATTTCACATATATCTGGAACACATTCTACTCATTTCTTTTCCTCCGCTTGAAAAAATATCTTCAAAAGCTGACTGATGACAGAGGGCATCTAGATTGCTTTGAGGACTGGGAATGGGACGTAGAGCTTTTCACATTGGGAAGACTAGCTTAAAATTGATTTTTTTTTCAATGCAAGAAGGCAGAGATGGTCCCCAGCTAAGGAATTTAAATTGCAGCATTCAAACCTGACATGCACTCTAAGCGTTTTCACAACTCATGCCTTCAAAGGGGCTTCAAAACATGACATCTTTTTTTTGCAGTCCCTGCTGAGGAGACGCGCTCTTTGGTGCATGTTACGGCATGGGGCTGTTGGTGGGGGAATCTGCAAAGATTCATAATGAACACCTTTCAAACATCATAAAGCTCCCTACTAAAGTCAGACCTGAGGAAGGGCGCTTGATGCCCAAAAGCTTTCCCAGCACCTCTCCCAACTACACAGTTGGTTCAATAAAAAGATATTATAAAAACCTGCTTTTCATACATTTCCTGGACAATCACGGTTACAGCAACACTCCAATATTACTAAGATACGCGAGAAAAGATAAGCTATTGACTCCATTAGAGGCAAGAGATCAGCAGAAGGTACAAGAAACCTGGAGGGAGGTTTTACATAACAGAAAAGGGTTGTCAGGCACAAGTCAGGAGGCTACGAGGAAGTGAAGAAAGGATCCTCTTATCAAATCACTAGGGTGTTTGTGCCCAAAAGCCTGCAAAGAACAATTTTTTCCAACTATTTAGTTGGTCTAATAAAAGATATCACATCTTCCCAAAGAACCTTGTCGGCTTATGTTTGTTAAACAATTAAGCCCGCTCAGCATTTTAACATCCTCAAGCTGCAAAGTGCTAGGAAAGTACCAATTAATAAGGACAAAGCCATTCTCTGAACTTTATTTTCTTGACAGGTTAGAGAAGGGTTTAAGCCCCTCCACTTTGGTGGGATTTGAAGTTCCTTGTGAAAATCTTGAGCCAAGCAGACCCTCAATTTCTGCAGAAAGGTTGGAAATTTCAAGAGTAAATGCCCAGCCCACTCATGACTGCTGCCAAAGCTCATCTCCTTTGAAAAACTAGCCAGGGAGAAAAATGGATAAAGGAGTGAAAACAGGACAAGGAACAAGCAAAGAGTAACAGAAACAAGAACCCTGACAAGTTACAAAAAATAAAAGGCATTTGTCTGGGACATGTTTTGTCCAGAAAGCTCAGCCTGACAGAGCACCCTGTGGAAAGCGAGGGTGAGTCCAGATAAACAGGAACAAGCAGCAGCAGCACCTTGTGCCCGGGGAATGCCCATGCCATGGGCTCCAGCATGCAGCAGGTTACCCCAGGTGAGGTAGGGAAGGCTGGGGCCAGCAACTGTGCTGGCCCCCGCAGCCTGACCTGGGGCCCTCCGTGCCTCCAGGAGCTGCAGCCACAGCACTCCTGCAGCAGGGAGCCTGGAGTGCAGCTCTGGCCAGCCAGGCTCCGGTTTGGGGCAGCGCGCGCTGCCACCATATGCACCACCCCGCTTTTTTGGGGCATGAGATTTTTTGACCCCAGGATCTCCCAAGGTCAGAAACCCCACCCCCCCAGGCTGCAAAGCAGCAGTGCGAGGAAAACCTGCATGTGCAGTGTGTGGTGCCATATACTGCACACCTGTGCTCACCTGGATGCACCTGGAGAGCCTTGCTTTTTTTGTTGAACTTTGCAATTGAGTTAACAGAGGCATTATGCAAGACGAGGTGGTATCTTATAGACCAGTGATTCTCCACCAGGACGCCATGGCACTCCGGGGTGCCTTGAGACATTTTCAAAGGTGCTGCGGGGTGCCATGCAATGTTAGTGCTATTAGGTATGCAAATATGAGTCACAAGATAAACCCAACCATTTCAAATACGAATCCAGTGTCAAAACCATTCTGCCCTGTTGTCTTTCTGAGCTCTCTGCAACAGAAGAGCTGTTCTGTTATTTTTCCATAGTCAAAAAACAAGCA